AACCATATTTCAAGTTCTGGCCAACTTGAACCGGTTCAGCTCCTCTGAACCGGTTCAAGGCTTCAAGTTTGAATTCGAAAATCCAACTACCAGACTTGAACCGGTTCAGCCCCTCTGAACTGGTTCAAGGAGTCCTGTTCACAATACAGCTTTCAGTTTCCTATTTTAGAATTGTTTCCTAGTTGGTCTAGAATTGTACCAAATCCTATGCACGAATTTTTTCATATTTTCAAAGGGACTAGGACATTCTAAATTCTATATAAACCTTGTCATATACATAGGTTTATTCACGGTTTTTGCATTATCAATTTATTACTCTTAAAAGCCATAAAAAGATTTTTGTCTCAGAAAATCTTATAAATTTTTCTATTTGTCTTTCTAGAACACACACATATTCACATAGTGATTTTAGTATTGTGTTGTTCAAATCTTGTTCGTGATCATACAGTTGCATCTACATCGATCAGACAAAAGCAGATTTACTTCTACATTAAATCCAGTAGTTAAAGAACAAAAGTAAAAGCGATCACACTTTGAAATGGTTAGAGCATTCGAGGAGTGTTATCTGATCTACCTGCTACTCTTCTACAAAGATCAAGCATAAGCCGGAGGTCAAGTTACTGTTGGACGAGGAGTCGCAAAACCAGAGAATTGTCAGCAATTGGTGTTTGGTAGAACGATAGGGTGTGAGCCAGAGTCAAAATTCAATATACTTTGTTTCAAGCATAGTGGATCGGTTTACTTTGGATTGCACAGTTCACGAGATTTTTCCACTCAAACAGTTGACGTATTTTATCAATTGGCAAAAAATTCTGGTGTCATCTCTAACTTTACTTTGCTTTATTTTATATTGCATGATATTAATTTATTAATTGCTAAAATAAAGAAAGTTAGAAAAACCCAAGATCTGTTTTTAAAATAATCCAAAATTTCTAAATATTCCGCTGCATACAACTCACGCTAATTTCTCTTGTCCACTTGAACCTGAGCTTTACTGATTACTAGTCTTTCGAGGATCCTAAAATGCCTGTGTCAAATTCTGAGGGAAAGGAATGGTAGATGGTTCTTTTTCTATTTCTGATGATATGTAACTTGCCAACTCAAGTTGAAAATTCAAGTTGTGTTCTGAATAATTCCTTCTCTATTTGATTACTAAGACAAATATACAATAGGTTTAGGTTTCTGTAGTGCTGTTGGTTACAGATATTTTTTCTTTCGTACAACTTTTCTGCAATCAAACAAGACATAAGCTGTTTCTAAATGCATATCTTGATCCTCTCCTTTCAAAATTTTGCCCTTTTAATCCAGACGCACTTGTATATTCAGCTAAAAGCAAAATTACTACTTTGTAAGATGCAATTCAACTTCTTAACCTTGTTCTTCGACAGATTTGAGAGGATTAGACTTGCAAACTGGATTATTTACCTTTAGACAAATTAAAGCCGCCACTAACAACTTTGATATTGCAAACAAGATAGGAGAAGGTGGTTTTGGATCTGTCTACAGGGTATATATTGAGCCCTTTTCTTTTCTTGTATTTTTTTGCTTGTTTAAGCGTTTTGTTTCTTTGGTTATGACATTTGGAGAACATTGCAGGGTATACTACTGGATGGTACTGTAATTGCAGTCAAGCAACTTTCTTCCAAATCAAAGCAAGGAAATCGTGAATTCGTGAATGAAATAGGCATGATCTCTGGTTTACAGCACCTAATGTTGTAAGATTGTATGGATGTTGTACTGAACGTAAACAATTACTATTGGTATATGAATACATGGAGAATAATAGCCTCGCCAGTGCTTTGTTTGGTAAGTAGATGTTTTTATTTTGTCATGCATGTTATGTTAATTAGACTGAACAAGAATAAGTAACCAAACAATATTACTACTATTTACCAACAATCAACACAGTAGAATTCTTTTGATTGTACTATCAATGTTAAGAGCACGTCCAAAGGAAGGGTAATTGAAATTGGACTGGCCTTCAAGGCAAAGAATTTGTATTGGCATCGCAAAAGGCATATCTTTCCTCCATGAGGAATCTACACTGAAAATGGTTCATAGAGACATCAAGGCTACCAATGTACTGCTTGATAGGATCTTAACCCTAAAATATCCGACTTTGGTTTGGCCAAGCTTGACGAAGAGGAGAACACCCACATTAGCACCAGAATTGCTGGAACCATGTGAGTTTCCGATTCACTCTTTCCTTCAAGAATACTCTTTAACACAGTTGCATTTTCTTAGAACTGTGCATCTTAAAATACCACCTAAATACAGGCATCAATTATATTATTTCATCTCTGAGTGACCTATGTGAGAACATGAATGATGCATGAATGGTGTTGGTTGAAATTACATGGTTGTGTTGCTGTCCAAAAAGTAACCAAAATAGGGAAGCTTTCAAAATCTTTTCAGATAAACAAGTTTACTTTAGGTTTCTGCATTAGCACTGCAACCATACTTGTGAAAAGGTTGTTAGCTTCATAAATTGACATTCTTGAATGATTTTCATACAAAAATGTTGAACAATCGGTGGTGGTCATCTATATCTTGATAGTCAGCATGCAAAATTGCCTGAATAAATGCTTAGCTAACCCATGGTAGCTTTGACGGAGGAAGGGAGCTCTGCTTTATAATGGAGGGTATCACATGTGAATGATATATGAATTAATGGACTTTTCACCATATTTTGATAGCGTTATAAATTTCATGAATGATTTTCCAACTGCCGGTAGAAGTATATGGTGGTGTGTCCCACTTTAATTGTCATATTTGTTGTACATAAAACCTCATAATAGTTAAATAGAAGCTAACAGAACAATCTTTGTTGTGCAGAGGGTACATGGCACCAGAATATGCATTATGGGGTTACTTGACCTACAAAGCAGATGTCTATAGTTTTGGAGTTGTTGCATTGGAGATTGTTGCATCGTCCCGGTGAGAATTATGTCTGTCTTCTTGATTGGGTAAGAATATCGGTTACTTCTTTGAATGCATTTGATTAACAGTTTTAAAAACCAGTTTGTTTGCTTTGCATGGTTCTAAATATTGATTTTGAGATCACTCTACACTGAAATGAAAAGAATTGCCGATATCTGAATTTTTGCAGTTCAAAAAGGGCAGAAAATCAAAATAATTTCTTTGTTTACCTATTCATTCAATTATAGATATCGTTTGTATGAGTCATGCTTGGTACATTTATTAGAGGTATTTTACTGGCTTCTCTTTTTATTTCAGGCCTTCGTTTTAAAACAAAAAGGAAATCTAATGGAGTTAGTGGATCCAAAACTGGGTTCCACTTTCAACAAAGAAGAGGTATTAAGAATGATACAAGTAGCACTATTATGCACTAATCCATCTCCAGCACTTAGGCCTACCATGTCTGCAGTAGTGAGCATGCTTGAGGGTCGTCTCAAGGTTCAGAATTTAGTCGCAGATCCAAATATCTATGGTGATGAATCAAGGTTCGAAGCTCTCAGAGGCAAGTATGATGAGCTGCAACTCCAGAGCTCAAGTGACACTCAGCCGTTGTTTGATTCATCCTAAGTAACACGAAATGGTTCTTCCTTCACATGTGCCCAGGATCTCCATCGAATCGATTTTGCTCCTCAGTAATGAAACAATGGTGAGAACAAGGTAGCCCAGAGAGTTGCATAGATAGAAAAAAAAAAATGCAGTAGTTTCTTCGTATTCTTCCTCCATCCTACAGAGAAACAATGTATTTCTAATCTCTGTCTAATGGATAGTGTAGAGGTCTTCTAAACCTTTGGTATTGGTTCAAATCCTATTGGACGTAATTTTTTTTTTAGATTTTTATGTCAAGAAAGACATTTTGAATGATTTGAATCAGAGACGTTTGATTACTTGAAGTGTTAAAATGTTTAGTGTGTGATTTCTTATAAGCATGATCCTAACTTTTGATCTCCTTGGATGACCGAGTGTAATGCTATTCTTATTATCATACACATATTATAATTGAATATCTCTTACTGTTCAACTTGCAAATGGTTAGAGTAACAAAATCTGTGTAATAATAAGATGGCAAAATACGGATTATTATTATTTTAATGACCATAAGAAGTGATGAAAGAATCGCAAAGGACCTCATGTGGGTGTGTCTGTCTGCTTTAACTTCCGAAAAAAAATAATAATAATAACATATTCTTAGAAGTTATGCTTGATTCTTGTATTAGTATTGACTTAGCATTATCAACAATGACATAATTTTTTTAAATGGGTGTTACTCTCGCGCTCCGCTCACACTCTTGTTCCCAACTCACTATGTATAACTTAAATTTTATCGCTTTCACGCTCTCGCCCAGTCACATTCCCTCCTGCTCTGCAACTGTGACTTAGGTCACATCTGCATGAACTGTTCCATCTGGTCTGGTTTACTTTATTGTGTAATAACGTTACTTGATGGGTAAAAGACTGTCTCAGTTGGTTAGTATGATTTGGGGGTCCCTTTATGCATGATAGCTTGGAAGTATATACAGACCTTTATCTTATCTAACAAAAATGGAGAGTTCCTGTGCAATCTCTTAATGAAAATCTTGAGAAACCCTAGAAATTTGGGGTGACGTCCTTGTCAATGTCCACTCTTACATACACCCAACCACCAAAGCCATACTCAGGCAAGACCTTTGGCTCCAAGAACATGCTACTCAAGATCACTAGACAATGACAACAATCAGCATCCAATATGTTCAACAAAACCCTAGCCAATTGTTTCTGCTCAATTGGATTGTCGGTCAGTTCCATGGAATTTAGCACCGTTTTGGAATCAAATCCTTTCAGGAATTTGATTTAGAAAATGTAAAGGAATCGAAAGGATTTGAAATAAAATCCCACGAGAAATCCAACTAATTTTCATATGATCTCAAATATCATGTTTTTAGGAGTGTTTGGAGCACCTCAAGTGTCCAACCCTTGTTATCATATTTTGTTCTCTTGTTTTGTGTGGCTTGTAAATTGTAAGCCAAGTGACACACAAGATGAAGTTTTGTCGAAATAACATCACTATGCAATATACAAAAAACATTCTAAATTCTGTATATTTGGTGTGACAAAATTCTGAGACTAAATACAGCAAATTCTCACCTAGAAAGAAGAAAGAACCCATTTACCAAAAAAAAAAAAAAAGAAAAGAAAAGAAAGAGAGAACCCTATTCCGCATAATACTCCTCCCCTAATGTAAATCTAAAATTTAAAATAATGTACAACATGTAATGCTGCAACCTTGTTGAATAGAATCCAATAAATAAAATACAGTATAACTTAAGGATGCACCTGGAGAAGGAGCTGCAGTATCTTTCATCCAATGCAAGGAGAAGGAGAGCTGCACAAGTAAGGTAGGTATGCCATCGAAGAATATCATCAAGCATTATCAGTAAGATACTGTACTCGGGTAAATTTCATCAGTAGAAGTAGAGGAAGAGCCTATCTCCTTTCGAACAGTTGTTGAATTTTGGGTTTGGCTGCCACTGAAACTTTGGCTTTGCTTTTCTCGATGAAAGTCTCTCATGGCTTTAAACCTCAAATCATCATTATACGTATTTGCATCTGGTATCACCTCTGGAATGCTCATTTGTCCTTCAAGCATGTTCACGACCTCGGTCATTGTAGGTCGAAGTGAAGGAGATGCATTTGTGCACAAGAGTCCTACTTTGACCATTGTTTCTGCTTCTTCTTTGTTGACTTGAGACCTCAACTTCTGATCGACAAGCTCCAATAGGTTTCCATTTTGTTGTAAGCGACAAGCCTACAACATAAATTCTTTTTTTTCAGTTTCGGAAGACTTCAAAGGAAATAACCAGTTAGCAAGATTTCAATGTTCACAGTGTGAAGTTCATGCTAGCCTTTCTACTGGCATAAAAGAAGAATAAATTGGGCATTAATAGTTCGAGTCTTATCAATGTGGATTTCTGAGAGAGACTCAGTGCAGATATAATCCAAAAAAAATAATAATAATAGTAATAATAATAAAATGGGTGTCCTTAGACTGAAAGTCTGAAACCCGCATTCTCAGTTTTAATAGCCCAAGCTTTTGTGCAACAGTTTCTTGGAAAAATAATAATATTTAGAAGAAATGAAAATATGAAATGAACAGAGATAAGAGTTCTTGAGTACCCAATCTAAAAGACAAATGCAATTGTTACTTGGCATGTAATTGTTGTTGTTCTTTCCACTAACAATTTCCAAAACTACAATTCCAAAGCTGTAAACGTCTGCCTTGTAGCTCAGGTAACCCCATAATGCATACTCCGGTGCCATATATCCTCTGCAAGACAATATTGCAATGTAATTCAACACCAAAAGATATTTATACTGAAGGCTATGAATGTTGAGGACACATATAAGAAGAGAACAAGAACAAGGTGACTGACATGGTACCAGCAATTCGAGTGCTAATGTGGGTCTTCTCCTCATCTTCATAAAGCTTGGCTAATCCAAAGTCAGATATTTTAGGGTTGAGGTCTCTATCAAGCAGCACATTAGTAGCTTTAATGTCTCTGTGAACAATCTTGAATCTTGACTCTTCATGGAGAAAAGCTAAACCTCTAGCGATCCCAACACAGATCTTAAGCCTTGTTGGCCAATCCAGTATTAATTGACTGTTCTCTGAAGCTAAAACATCATCAAACACTTAAAATATTGTTACAGCAAATCAAATGACAAAATATTGCTACAGAAAATCAAATGACAATTACAAAAGCATAGCTTACTAGTAGCATAGAAAATACAGTCACCAAATAGAAAAACGCATTTACCAAACAAAGCACGGGCCAGGTTGTTGTTTTCCATGTACTCATATACCAGCAATAATTGATCCTTTTCAATACAACATCCGTGAAGCTTAACAAGATTTGGGTGTTGCAAACAAGAAATCATGCCTATCTCGTTTAAAAATTCACGATTTCCTTGTCTAGATTTAGAGGAGAGCTGCTTCACTGCAATTATGGTACCATCAGGTAAAAGACCCTGCATTCCAGTTTTTACTTAAAATCCTTGCATATAATTTAAAACCAAAGATGATATCAGAAATGGGTAGCTAGATACCTTGTAAACAGGACCAAAACCACCTTCTCCAATCTTGTTCACAGAATCGAAGTTGTTAGTGGCAGTCTTAATCTGTTTTAAAGTAAATGAAACCGTTTGCAACTCTAGCCCTTCAAAATCTGATTGAGGAGAAAATAGATCATGAGCCTACAATGCTTTTCCTTTGTACGACATACATTAAAATTTTTAAAAAACAACAAATCTCAGTTTAAATCATATTTGATATCTGATTCTATTTGCAGGAAGGATAGAGGCCTGTTTTCATTATATTATCTTTCTGCACCATGATTTTTTTTTTCTCCTTCTTTTTTCCTTTTTATTGCAGCAGGGTGGAGGGGCCTGGTTCACATATACTATAAAAGCCAGTATAACAACCTCACTACAGAATTCTCATTTTATTGCATCTCAGATAATTTTGATCTCAGATAATTTTGTAACGGGATTGATTACAGTATTTATATAAAGGAGCACATTCTTCAAACAACCAAGAACCAAAATAAGAGATTTTTTTTTTATTTTTTATCTGGAGACCTTCAATACGATTTCTTTGAAAATATTGTGGATATATTACTGACAAATGGAACTAAATCAAGAGTAAGCGCGCACATAGTTTTATTCTCTTTCATTCAAAGCTATTGCTTAGCATTTGGTACAGTGCTTACCTTTTCCTCTTCCTTTCCCACCTTTGAAACAGCCTTTCCACCAAAGGACAATGAATATTACGAAAATAATACAAAATGCTACGACTCCAACAGTAGCATAAATAGCTACGTTCTTTTTGCCACCCCCAGCTGAACAAGTTTTGAAAGCTGCCCAAATAAACAAAACCAAACAAGTATGCTAATGAGAAAACAGAAGACATGAACACAGCCAAAAACAAAGCAAACATAGATTCACCAGATTTTACATAGAGAACATTTGTTTTTGAGGATCAATTTAGACATGAATGCATGATGGAAGAACATGGATCCACGCGCACACACAATCCATTGTATTAGTTTGTGCACAGCTCTTTCCCTTCTCTTCCCCTCTTCAGAAATCCAAGTTAATGAATTTTCTCTAATCATTAGTTCAAGATGTGCTAGAGAAAGAAAAAGATGCTTTATAAATCCACAAAACCACTAGTTCCAATAATGATTTGGAACCTAAAAAACCACCAGTTTCCCTCTTCCAACAATCTCTCTTAGAAAATGACCATCTCTCCAAGAGCAAAGGGACCAAGTTTTCACCCAAACTAACCCCATCTTCAAGTCAACCTCTACCAAGAAATGTCGAGTATATCCATAGATGAGACTTCCTCACCATTTCTGCTTTAATAGCAAAGTAAGTGCCAGCTAAAAATGACAGCTCTCCAAACAGCATCTCTAAGGATGCCTTCATACCAAGGTTTCCAATAAATCACCCATCATAACTGAACTGGATTTACCCTATAGGCAGACACTTCACATAATCAACCATATTATGATATCAGGAAGAATACACAGCAATCTGATCAATCTTAAAACATTCAAAGGAACACCTCTAAATTGTTATCATTGAAACCACGACGAAGATAAAAAGTGGATTCTTGAAACCTCCTATTGTGGTTGCGGCTTGAATGAGATAGCCAAAATGTAAAATGAGTATAATTTGTAAATTTATCTGAACTTACCGAATTACTTCAGTTGTGATCTAGATATTCCTATACTCCCACGTCATCGGATACAATAGTTTAGTGTTGGATAAAAGATAGGAATTATGAATTTGATTAGAGATTTACTTAATGGGTGTATTTTGTTTTATGTGAAACTCTAATCTATTTTTTTTCTCAAAATTTGCATTAAGGATATCTACTTATTTAAAGATGTAAAAACTTCAAGTATTTCTAATTTTATGTCAAGTATATGCATCATGTTTGTTATCTTTTCCTTTTCCCTTCTTTCTTTTCTTTTCGATAAATAAGCATACTCACTAAAGGGCCACAAAAGAGGCTCAATCAAGAAGATGTAAAAATGTAAAAGATGATGATGATTTTTGAGATTAAGATTGAGATTGTCCATTAATATTTAAGAATAAAAATGGGATCTATTAAAATGTTGATGGATTTCCATATGCGGATCTTCTATGTTCTTCTCTCAATTTTCCAGTAAAGTAGATGTGACTTTTTTTTTAAAAGAAAAGAACTTTAATCATGACCAATATGAACATAAATATGATAAGTAATAATGGATCACTGAACATTGTAAAAAATTGGCTGTGAATCCATCCTAGAGGAATTCAAATTATTGAAGGTTTAAAGATACCTAGTATACAAAACTGAATTAAACCACAAGGTCCATAACCTAAGGTCAGCGTGGGTAACTGTGTTCGCAGTTTACAAGTGGCATGTGATGTTGACATTCTTGTACATGTGGCACATGTGATGTTGACATTCTTGTACATGTGGCACATGACTAGTGACAAGTGACTGCTACATAAAAAATTGCAGCATCAACAATAACCATTCCTTCTAGTTTACTAATCTGGAATTAGGGGGCTTAAGATATGAAACAATATTTTCCTTAAACCTTTGAGCCGTTATTCACCTATATTCACTACTAACTCACTAGTTATTTGGCATGATAAATCTTGATAGTATGGTTTATTTCCGTTTTTTATCCATCATTAAATGAACCTTTTATGCCTTTCAAATTAATAATTCAATTGGCCACAATAATAGTACAACTTATGTTATGTCGACCTACACAACGATTCATTAGTATATATGATTATGCATGGATAATTTAACACATTTTCATGTCTTCTGCGATTAAAAAAAAAAAACTGTACACATGTAATTCAAATCAGACATGGTATACATATATGTATATTAGAATAGTTAGTTACAATAAAGAAGACACGTGAATTACTTACTCGGATCAACCGAAATAGCTGATACAAGAGGGCCATAAACTCCTCTATCAGGAATGCGTGTAGTCCCCTTCCCAGTCCAATAAAATCGGATCTCTAACATATTATTTGTCACACTAGCATTAGATTGTTTTACCACTGGCCTTAGAGCCCCATGACCCTCGTCTTTAATATTGAAATCCTTCCAAACTAATTTTTCCTGAGAGACAAAGAGGTTCGGTTAAGGAATTTTGTGGCTTAATAGAAATATATATGTTCATTGATAAAACTAATTACCTGAATATAAATATCAAATATTCGGCGCCCAAGACTACTAAATGTATTGTTATCTGTGAACTGTATTTCCGCAAAGTGCAGACTAACAGTGTAATCCCCATTTTCTAAGCAATAACGGAAATAAGTAAGTGAAAGAGGAGAACGACGTGCGGTCCTATAAAATTCGGAGATGTTTGTTGATGCCACATCTTCAGTATAACGTGTATTTTGGTAATTATCATCATCCATGAAGTCCCCAGTACTGCTAAATCCCCAGTAACTATTACTGTTTATAAAATATTTTGCAGTACCACCTTCAACCTGTGCATCTCCTTCATACAAAACAGTACGATTACGCAGATCATTGCCACCACAATTAACATGCAAAGAGCACCCATCTGCAACAGAAAAAATTGAGCAAAATAATTTATGAAGCTCATTCACTACATTCTACATAAGAAGCTAAATAACAGAAAAATATATTGGTACAAGGCAAATTGATACTCATCATAAATTGATTCCTTTAAAGGACACCATGACTATTACATTGAGCTTTTAACTTCCGATTATTTAATCCTCATTAGACTAATTACTAATGCTAATATTGATGACTTTTCAGATTTCTAATTAGGAAATTTCGTGATCTAAATGACTTTATGCTAGAAAATCAAAAAATTAGACTGCTATCTTATATTAGAGAATGAACAAACTATAACCAGCTTCATAAAATCAAAATCATCATCCTTGCCCTTATCCCATATGGATGGGGTCGGCCACATGAATTCTTTCCTATCATACCCGCTGTCTTCTCTTAAAGTTTTTAAGTCATTTTTAATTTACTTAATCCCACATAAGCTTTGGTCAGCCTCTTTATCACTCACCTAAACAAATGACTCTTCCTCTTTTAATAGGTGCATCATCAAGTGTACGTTGTTGAATATGACCATAACACTTCAGTCTACTTTCCCAAATTTTATCATTTATAGGCGCTATACCTAATGTTCCCCTCACATGTTCATTATTTATCACATCTCTTCTAGTGATTCTGATGTAGGACACAAAAGCTTTGATACCAAATGATGTAGAACACAAGTAGACTGGGAAGAGAGAAGTGATGTAGAACCAGATGTAGAAGAGAGTAGTGAGAGTGAAGTAGAGTGAGAAGTAGAATCCAGAAGAGAGAGAGAGAGTGAGAAGAACAAAGGGAAGAGAGGGGAAGAATCTGAGGGAGATGAAATCTGCAATTCAATGCTCAATATTCAATATTCATCAAAAACTACTAACACAATACATATGCCCATCTATATATAGGCAATACAAAGACCCTAATGTCCAAAACAGCTGCTGCAGACATAAACAAGTCAACAATGGCTGCCATGAGCCATAGTGAAACATATAGCCACACCTATGCTTGAGTTGGGAAATAGGTGTGCTCGGTTTCAACAAAGCTGCAAGGCAGCATACCTTATTTATAGGTAAACCTAACCCTAGTAATAATTAAAAGGAAATATTGCAAAACTACCCCAGATTTATTGTAGTTCCTACAATATATAGGAAAACTATAAAATCTATCTGTCCTTGCCTCTCCTCCATGCATAGATGAGAGTCGTGTGCAATTCAAACTCTCGGGCCATGCCTGGTTCTTCATCAGATTCCTATCATCCAACATAGCAATCTCATTTCTGCTACATGAATGCATTGTATTTGTGTCTTTTTCAACACCCAACACTTCGCTCCATACAATATTGTCGGCCTAATAACCGTTCTATAGAATTTTTCTTTTAATTTATTTGGTATTCGTTTGTCACAAAGGATACCACTAGCTTGCCTCCATTTTGTCCACCCAGCTCCAATCCTAAAATCAAAAGATACATATATATATGTATGTGTGTGTGTCCGGTTGATAAAATCAGAAACATGGGCTAAGTGAATTCCATCTTGTCAAAAAAGAAATTTGAAATCCACCTTTACTGGTCTTGCAATCTTAGTTATTTTAACAGGTCTGCTAGTGCAGTCTATTAACAAATTGGTAGGTTTAATAGACTTTGCAAAAATAAGATTGCTCCACAAAATTAGATTATAGCTAAAGGAAAACTTATATTGAACTTCTGTATAAATAAAAAGGAATTTAAGGTAGTGCACAATATTGGTACTCCAAAGAAATACTTACATCGTGGACAGCTGAAATCCTTTGTACATGGAAGAATACTCTTTCTGTTACAGAATGAATACAAGGATGATTAGCATCAAAAGTACACTAAATAGGTTTTTTTCTTTTCGTAAGTCACCAAATAGGAAATTGAACAACCTTAAAATTGAAACTTTTTTCTCCTATGATTGTGAAATATAAAACTCAACTGTAGAACTTTAGGAAAGCAAGACAAAACATCTTACAAGGGGTGTTCTGCTGAAGAGCTTTTAAACAAGTTTATGTATAGATTCCTGGTAAGATGAGAAAAGACAGCACAATTATCATCACCACAAGAATTCCATTTAATTGGGATGCATAAAGGAGAAAAGATATAACGATGTATTCTGACATGTTTTCTTGACAAGTGGGTTGCTCAGGACCTTGCCATGTAAAGTTATTGTAGGAAAGATCACTGCAAGCAATTATTAACATTAGTTGTCAGCATCTTTATAGTTACAGTGATATAAATAGAATTTTAATTATATTAAAACCAGAAAAGTAAGAGATGTTGTCTGTAATGATACGAGTATAATTAGTTTGAAGCCAGAACGAAGGAATGCTGTTTCTAAGAAATTTTTAAACCACAACTAAATGTTAGTCAATCAAGTAATTTAGCTTCACCTTGTGCATCAAAATAAAATGCAAAATGTGATAATATAACCATTATGTGTTATGGGGTTAAAAAATGCCTAAGGAATTCAATTTAATAGTCGTAGTTAATCAATTATCAATTGTTCTTTTCGTTCTTATCAGAAAGATTGTTTGTCGAGGCATCAACATGTATTGGGATATGCATGAGTAACATTCAATTTTTGGAAGTATCAGAATAAAAGATATCCCATGCATGAGTAAGATACTCAATTTTTGGAAGTATTAAAATAAAAGAGATATATATTGGGATTATCTGTTTAATTTTTATGAATATGAAAAAATTATGCGTTGAAAACCAAATAGATCATCAAATTATCACCACCATGAAAATGCAGTAATAATGAGTATTGCAGCTAATTAACAATCAAAGAATCAGCAAGTTCACTGGATCGGTGCCAATTGTGAAGAAAAAATTAGGAGTAAGAGAGGATTGAATCTTCTCCCTGCAAAAAAAAATAAAACCTTCTTCCTCGTGAAAGAAGAAACCAAACAGCTAATGCAGCTCAAGATTGGTTGTCGGAATTGAATGGCAAGTGAAATTATACCTTAACAAGACCAATTCAAGCACACCGTTGGATCATTTCCGAGGGAAAATGGGGGAGAATTGGCACTCTGAAATGGAGTTACAGTTCCCCGAAGGGAAACTTTACGGCATAACAATGTGACCAGTTGTGTGCCATAAGGTACAACTAATAGGCAATCCAGATGCTAAATTTTTCATATAAGTGGTATATTAGAGAAGGACTCTGAAATGTAAATACTGGAAAAACTAGAAGGATAATATTAGAAACTGAGTGAGGAGCGCCAGAAGTTGACATGTGACTGAAATGGTTTAAACACGTAAAGGAAAACCAGTGGAGCCACTACAGGACAAGAGTAAGTCGGTGCAAGTTGAAACCACAAATGAAGAGTGAAAGAATGTAATGGACAAATAAATTAAGAGTGAAACTTAAAACCATGCTTCATTATAGATGTAGCTTTTTGATTGAGTGGAATAGCTGAGCACCTTTGTTTTCCTAAATTAGCTTGAATAATGCATAATGAATGATGATTTTACTCAAATTAGTTGAAGTCTTTCGCTATTATACGGGTTTGATTGATTTTTCTACTTATAATTCATCTATATTTTGTACAATACCATCAACGGAAGCAGAGTTTACCAATGGGCTTCTAGCCAGATGGTATGATCTCTCCTCCCCAAATGGGGAGGTTGAGAGTTAGAGTCTCACTAGGTTGTGGATGATGGGTGTGCGTGTTTGCTTTAACTTCCAAAAAAAAAAAACGCAAGAAAGAAAGATAATTGAAGCAGAGTTTATAATTGTAGCCAGAGAAGACAATTTAGAAGCAAATGAGTTGGCAAAAAGAGGTCAACAATTCAACAACATTTGGGGACATCTTACACTCAAGTTGTGTGATGCAGAAGGACAGTGTTTCTCGTTAATGAAGTTTCTATTTCTTCCAATGTATTTTCATGATTGTCCTTGTGAAGAATGGCTCATCCCTCATTTGCATGATTTATCTTTCATCAGTGTGTTTTTTCTTACTAAAATATAATAATATATCAGATTCTGAGACTAAAAGATCAACTCATATAGGATGAAAGCATAAACGAAATATGCATTGAAGTATTCCTAACACCAGAAGTGGAAGACGCGACTTACCGAAGACCCTTAAATCTTAAAATGCTCTAATTTCATGTAGAAATAAAATATTTTTTTCAAAACTTAATTGGTATAACCCCGGAACTGTAATTTAAATATGCAGAACAAAATTACTGAAATTGTTGTGAGATGCACTGGTATGAATTCAATACATCTCAGTAATTTTTTTTTTTTTTTTTTCCTCTTCCTGTAACAAGGGGACTCAAGCCTCTGAGACTGAGGTTGAGAGTGTGATAACCACCTGGCCCATCAAGGGTGCACCACAGTAACTTGATCACATTAGTGGTTACATTCACCAAGGCAACCCCCTATGGGATTGCAAGACTATTAGCTTTCCACTTGGACAACCTAACTAAGGGTATTCGGGTTCACTAAATTATTAACTTCATCATTCTTCACTTTAGAATCCCAAAATCATAGAGGAAAAGAAAAACATATTAAACAATCCTTCATCTCAACATTTCACAACTTAAAGGCCTTGATTATTCTAAAAGGGCCATGTCAATGGTCCTGCATAAAAAACTCAGGTAAATAAAACAACTGGATTGCTTATGTTTATAGATTAACCTGAAGGCAATACTAAAAAATGGCTACCCCTAGATTCTTTTTAGTCGTGTATAGTTTTTTAATCCTTTTTAATCACCATGAGCAGGGAAAATTCGAGGTAAAAAATGTAAGGATTCAAAAGCCAACTGGTCAAACTGTTATTAACTAGAAAGAATTTGTATGTACGAAGTAAAAGGTTAACATGTGAACAAATTATGAAAATTGGCTTCCCTTTGTTAATATATAGAACTTTTCAATGCATTGTGTCTTCACATGCAATAATAAGCATTCATGAGCTTTAAAAGATGAAAGTAAATATAATGAGCACTGAGATCTAAGAATATCAAGATTAAAACAGATCAGCAAAAGCCAAACACAAATACAGGCAGCCCTATTTGTGCTCAACTTTTGCACACAGGACTCCACTGTCATTCAGGATGACAATGATGTGCATGCAGTAAAAAGTGGATCACAATAACATTACCATATAATCCTACTCTCACAAAAACACATCTGGGGAATCCCAGCTAATAAACGTACATATTACTTCCCTCCTTCAAGATTGAGTTGGGTATATCTCCGCTGAACATGTTGCCACTTAAATACCTGCTCAAAGCAACATGATATAGTTAGAACGCAATATAGGAACTCCGGAACATGATGGCATTGTAGCAATGCAGTTGGTAGCATTTCATGGAACTTACAGAAACAATCAATCACGAAAACCGTTGGTAGCTTTAATATGAAGCCAAAGGATTGCTTCATAACAATTTGTTAGCAAGTTTTAGACTCGCAAAATGAAAGTTCATCACAATAACATGATCAAATGCAACCTAAATTTTGGGTGTCATACTTACACGAACTTTAAGGTTCTTGTGTTTATGTCATTTGGAATTTCACCGGTTAACCTGTTAAAACTAACATCCCTATCCAAATCACAAGACAAGAAATACAAGAAAAAGAAAATCAGTTAGAATAATTCATGAGTGTATTTACCAGTCAAGTGTATTTAATGAAAACACTATAGAAGAGAGACTGGATGTACAAGATTGAGGAACAGAACTTCTGAAGAAAAGAAAAAGAGAAATGGAGATGAAAACAAGTTATTCAGATGCACAGGAGTGAACCAAGATCGCATATTATATTCTACTAAATCTCCGAAAGAGAGCACCAGCCTCTTCAACAAAAATTCAAATAAAAATTCGCCGACTAGAAATCCAGGAAATGGTTTGGACCACTTCTAGAGAAATCAACCACCTCTAAAAATGTTACATAGATTTGTGGACCACAATTGCCTTTGTCAATCCAATTAACCACATAAAAACTATAAAACGTCTGGTATGACATTACTAGAAACCATACTTTAAGCCTCCACTTCAAAGAGAAGAGAACCAATTCCTCTATATTGTGACATGTGTTATTCCAAAAAACCTGGAAATGTTTTTTTGGCTTGAATACAAAATTAGCTTCTTTATGGTAGATGAATACAATTTTTCCTGTTACAATAGATAAATTGTTCCAACAATCTGTTGTCCACAACAAAATATTAGCAATTTTAGATAATATGAAAAGTTTGAAGTTCTTTAGTTTAAAAGAAATTGATGAATTAATTTTGGACTAATAACCCATAGATAAAAGTTTTTAGGAAAAATAACTCTTGATACCCCTTGTTAGAGTTAGCAGGTCAAGCAGCCCTAATGTTTATGCACACTTACAATTTATCCTCATTATATTAGAACATATTAGAAGAAGAAAAAAAAAATAGAAAATATCAATATGATCAAAAAGACCAAAATACCCCAATCTCTTTTATCCCTTGCTCTTTCCCTCTGTTCACATTTCGACATTCTAAAGTTCTAAACCAACACCGCCACACCCACCAGTCACCTGCCAAACACACACGCCCTCTATCTATCTATCTCTCCATTACTTCTCTCTCTAAACCATCACCTCCACCACTACCACCTCATTCAACCAGCACCACCTCCTTTCTCTTCTCTCGCATTATTTCTCTCCAAACCGGTTCCTTCTCCATCATCACCTATGTCATGCAAAAGCCTCATTCTTCCTCTACGGCAAGAACAACATTTTCTTGAAGAATAACCAAGCTATTAGACAACTCCTTCCATTCATAATCTTGTATCACTATCTGCCGAAAACCTCATGTTCCCATAGCTGTCCATCTTTGTGTTCAAGTAGACCTGAGCTGTACACCCCATAAATCTATTCTCTTTGACTTGCACATTCATCAAACATAAGTCTGTTTCTTTAAGAAATATCAAAATCAAAACCTTAACCTATATTTTGATAGATAGAGGGATGTAGAAATGATTGTGTTGAGTTATGGTAGAGCCTTTTGATTTTTATTCCAATTCAGCATCTACCATTAATTGCCAAACACCTTGTATATAAAAAAAATTGTTATATCCAAGTATGCATATGTATAGATATGTACATATATAAAGAGATACTGAAGTAATGGAGGAATTTTAGTAGAGTCTGCTATTATTTCAGGTATCAACTTGCCTTCCAATTGGCTGATTGAATAAAGGGGTAGAAATAGTCAAAAACAAAACTCAAATTTTGTTTGGAAAAGAAAATCCACTTTTTTCTATATCTACATTTTCGGTACTAATTTATCTATGTTCTTCCCTTTTTCTCTCCCTTTTTTTTCCTTCGCTTTCTCATTATCTTTCGGGGTTTTACAGAGAGAAGGAATAAAAGTGGATTGACTTGAAAGAGAGAGAGAGGAGGAGGTTGGAGGGATGGAGAGGAGAAGTATGAGATGGAGAAAAGAGATGAGAGAAAAGAGAAAAAAAAAAAAAAAAAATTAGTGAAGGAAGGAGAGGAGAGAGAAAATTGGTGGAGAAGAGGTAGCACTAAGCCAGTAACAATTATAGAGGTATAAGAGGAATGAGAAGATGGAGTTGATCAGCAGCAGTGCTGGTGACTCTGAACAATGTCGGGAAAATTGTTCTCATTTAAAAATAAAAATAAAAATTGGTAAAAGGGTCATACATATAATTTTAGAAGGATGAACAAGGATATAAAGTCTTTTTTTATCAAAACAAAGGGCAAAATAGACGTTTTACAAAAACTTCTTTAGGGGAGGTCAGAGAGTCAACAAAACCACAGGGAGGTTGACCAAAAATTTCAAAAGTTCCATCTACAGGTTATCAGTCCAAACCTCAGGGAGGTTGGAGTAGTTTGCGTTAAACAAAAACATGTTAGAAGTATTACTTACTATTTTATGCACTGTACAGGTTTAGTGCAGGAAACTGCATGTGCCTCGCATCAGCTACTAGAATTCAACATTGAATTATTTCATTAATGCATTTTTCTATCGAGGCCTCACTTGATTCATTTTTTCCCATCTTGGGAAACCATTTAATTGGCCTGATTTTTAACTTCACTTCCACACTAAGATGCCCTCAACCCCAGCCCACCTCACCTCGGGAAAATGAAAAAAGAAAACTACATTTTCACAAGAGGTTAGTTAACTGGCAAAAGTTTTTGTAGTTCAAAAGAATTGACAAAAGCAACATTGGAGCACCTTTGAAGCAAGTTGAAAGTTTAGGTACTCAACCGATCAATTGAGAGACCGATTTAAGGAAAATACAATGTAGATATTCTTATTATATTTAGCCAAAGTAATCATTGTAGACATGTAGTCAATTACACATTGACGAAAATGATGAAACCCAATAAATAAAATTCAAACACCAAAAATTTACAGGCTCTACTTACAACATTTGCAGGTTCTTCATTATCCAAATGTAGGGGGGGACTTCTCCAGAAATGTTGCAGTTTCTCAGAACCCTAATCCATAAAATTAATCACAATGAAGACTGGCATTTTATCCAACGTATGCCTATAAATATCAGTAACATATATCAGTCTACATACAGTCTTACTAAGCCTTCAGTGTTGCTCAGATTGGGAAATCCCTGATTCATCCCATTTATGTCACTAATCCTCCTGTTTAAAGAGATACCACAATAAGCAGATAGATCCCTTCAACAGTAGATTAAGCAATTGATGAGCAAAATAAAACAAAGCATGAGGAGGATCTATACTCACAATTCAGTTAACTTGTCCAGAAGAGATATGCTCGAAGGAATGGGTCCCTCCAGTCCACTTGCATGCATTTCTCTTCATTGATGCAAATGTGAATTAAATTTTAAAAAAGAAGATGCAAAACCTATGTGCTCGTGCTAAATTCTCAAAAGACACTTTTGGGTAGATAAGTAGCTTACAATCTTTCAAGTTTTTTCCAGTTCTGTATAAAATCCGGTATTGTTCCATTGAAGTTGTTATCGTTTATCCTACTGCATTGCGTAAGAGAATGGTGTTGAACTGATACTACTGAAATTACTGTAAGAAATCAAAGAAAATGTTAGAGAGGCTTACAAATCGGTTAAATTTCTTAGCCCAGAAAATTCCACTGGTAGCTTTCCCGTCAAGTGATTGGAGGACAACATCCTTGATTCAAATATTAAGTTGCAAAACCAAAAGTTAAATGTTTTCCATCTCTCACAAACTTTATTCAGGGATTAAACCATAAGAAGAAGAATAAAGCGAGATGACTTACAAACTGTCCAAGTTAATTAATTTTCCAAGCTCAGGAGGAACAGTCCCAGAAAATTGATTTGCTTCAAGGCTCCTGGTTATAAATCTCATTCAATATTACTAAAAGAGCAGAACAGGAATACAATATTCAAATTATTTTACAATACACTGAATGCATGGAGGAAAGATAACATGTTCCATGAAGCATTAGCTTGAGTGGTATCTCCTCCACCTCCCAAAAAGGAGGTTGAGGATTCAAGTCCCAACTGGGACTGAGTGAGTCTTACCTATTAAAAACCGGAAGACACCCCCAACTATTTCAGTTTCAAAAGAAACAAGAACAAATGAGATAAAAGATCTACTCAGTTCATAGACTTCTATCACCATGACAGTCCAAAAAGAAATTGGATAAACCAAAGCTGATGACTTACAGGTATGTGAGATTGGTAAAATTTCCCAACTCTTTTGGGATTTCCCCTGATAAGCGGTTGGCGAGAACAGAGCTACATCAACAATTCCATGACCGAATTTACAAAATGAGAAACTTATGAATACTGACTTCTTGACAAAGAGGAAAAAAGATAAAGCTTACATTGAATTCAATTGTAATGAAGCCCACTCACGTGGTATGGTACCATTAAGGTAATTATAAGCAAAATCACTACAAATGAGATAAAGATGGAACAAGAATCAGTATACTATAATTTTATTTCACATCTAGGGTACCATATAAGAAACTGCTGCAGTTCAAATTCTAACATGACAACTGGCATTTGCGAAGGCTCTTACATTGTATGGAGGTAAGGAAGATTCACCAGTTCAGGTGGAAGCACACCAGGAAGACTATATTTCTTAAGCATACTGCAAACATGATAATTTTTGTTCAATTGTTAGGCCAAAAACAATTATAGAACCTATGCTTATATGTTATAGAAATCTTCCCTTTATATCTTCTTTATTTATTTTCGCAGTAACAATATCCTTTAAGGTTGTTTTAGAGGTTTTTCTTGGAACATAGAGCTTGTCTTAACTTTTGGGATGTGATAAACAGAAAGAAAGAAATGAAGAGTAAGAAGAATAAAAAAGAAAGAGGGAGTCATACAAAGACAGAAAAAAGGTGAGGAGTAGGGTGGAGAGAGAACGTAACTACATTTATCCAGGTTCTTGATCTTAACTACAACTGTTACCTTCCAATTGCATCATATTTTACCACTTCATTTCTTAATTTAAAGTTGTTTGGATAGTGTTCCAAATATCTAAAAACACGTCAGGAGATACAGAATCACATGTACCATGATTGCATAGAAAAGTTAAAGCAACATATTCAGTAATAAGATGAAGAATCTATACATGTTTACGACGTGACAAACAGTGTTGTTCTCAAACTGGCAATCACATTCAACACTGCGTTCAGAACCACTAGGTGCCTGTGTCCCAGCCACCATTTCAAGTTGGCAAGAATCAGCATTGAACTTCAAATACGTTGCACCCATTGTATTGAGAATTTGCTGAAGCACATGCACTAAATGACACAAATGAAAGAAATTGGCATCAAATAATGAATCTATGTTGAATGATGTGAACTTAAATAACTCGATGGAGAGGAAAATTATGTTTAAAGGATATTATTAGATGCAAGGAAAAAAATAGCGAAATTTCATAGATTTTCAAATCATATCCATCTTTCAAACTCGTCCGATTGGATAAAAAATCCTTCATTATAGTCCTCAAGCTTTGGTTAGACTCGATATAAGCTGCTAGTTCTGAGCAGCTCCTTCAATAGATATAAACAGCTTCATGTTACCTTACTTAGCATTTCCAATCTTAGGACGTACTTCACAGTCCACCACTCCAATAGACTAGTCCTAATTTTTTTAAAATTCATTGATTTTAACATGTGATTAGAACTTTTCGCAAAAACAAGAAGTTGAGTGAACAATAATAGATACAGCATGTTGAACAGGGGCTATAGTATAACTCGACACCAGGACAATTGGATGTTAACATTTTATGGAAAAATGAAGTAAAAATTTCTCCACATCTATTTCCTTCAAAAAGTTACTGGAAACAACATAATACATCAATGATTTCAGGTATAGATTGGAACTAAAATGCACTATCAGATTGGGGTGTGGGAGAAACAAGGCATATCAAGAGTAATGAGAAAGGAAGGAGGGATGAGCTGCACTTTACATTATTTAAAATGCAAATGGAAGTTCACAAACAATTCAGGACTTATATTCATTAAAAGTAGATGATTTGCGAAATACCAATGCACTCAACTGAATCAAACCATCTTAAACAACTTTCACTCATCCTGTCCTTGCGTCTCAGAAAAAAGAGGTCATTTTTCTACCTATCTTTTCCATATCTTGCCACTCCACAAATCAAAAAATGTATTATCACATGCAGTTGAACTGAAAGTGCTTTAGCTTCTACAAATTGAAGTCCATTGAAAACTTTATGGAACCTGAGAACTACTTCTATCACTATAATGCATTTATCTATCAATCAAGAATGAGATGTACTTATATTTCTATAAGTATCAATCGTTCTAGAGTGGCCTAATATAAGCATGTACTCGAGCACATCATATGAAAGTATATTCATTTGAACTTTTTTATGTTAATAATAATTATGAACTGCTATTATTTGTTGCAAATAGTAGAATGATCTGCTGGGCAGAATATGGACAGCCAACCCAAAATAATCTTATAAAACTAGGTGGCTGGTTCTAGGACAAATGAAATCCACCAATTCAGTTATAAAATACACAATATTAGTGGCCTGATTGAAATTTGGCAAAGCCCAACCTAAACAAAGTTATGACCATAATGATCCTCAATCAGCCTGGAGTCCTCTTCTGCTACATGATGGGCAACAAAATCAGGTAGAACCCGGCCTCTGCAGCAGGACCCAGAAGTATTGTTGGTCCAATCCAGCTACCGGAAAGAATCTTAACTTGGATGCTCAATTCAGAACATATTTACGACATCCTTTACACAGACACGAATCAGTTGTATAGAAGAATACTTTTGCAGTAAGTGCAGAGAATAAAGGTGCAAATGTATCATACAATAATTGACTCTCTCTAATTTATTTTGGAGCATCCATACACTAATAAACATAGGTTTCAATTATTTTGTACCAATCAAAAACCATATTCGAATTTTGTGTACATTCACTTGTATCTACAGTATGAGATGCATTCACTAATTATATTACTAAATTCCAATGTAAAGTTTTTTGATCAGCAGAAAGAACAAGAAATCCTCATAGACTTGTACAAGAATAAAAATGCATCTAGTGTCAGATTTCCATGAAAAGCTAAGAAGAAAATATAAAAATATATAGTAAAAAAAACACCATCTTAGACACATAGGAAATCTGAACATATTAAATATGCAAATTGCAATTCAAATTGAGATATAAATGTGCAACAACTGAAGCCACTAGATTACGGGCTAGTGCTTGAAGTTTTGAAATCTAGACTTTGTGAGTGTACAAAAAATTTGAGCATCGGAAACGTGGTATTAACATGTTAGTCAATAGAGCAAATAACAGATAAAATTCGGTAAAAGGATAAAAATAATAATAAATAAATAAAAGGAGGAACTAATTGGCAGAGTTGACAATACAAAAACCAAAAAGTTGATAACAAAATAACTCATAACCAAGCATTACAATTGGTGACCCAGATGCACTTAACCCATCCAAAACTCCACAAGCTTTAATTAGAATCGAGTGGTTCCAAGGCAATAAACAGGCGAGGCCTCACAGCAAATTGAAGAAAAATCTGTAATTGACCAAAGCAACTTAAACTTTAACTTAGATTTCATAATTATAAATAATTAAACATCATAAACTCATGTGCCTCTCACAGTTTGGTTATGTGTTATCCAACCTGTGTTTGGAATTAAAAATAATAAAAAAAAAAAAAAAAAAAACTGAAACCCCAACCTAAATCCTGTGTTTGGTTATGGAGAAAATCGGAGAAAGATGCCTTTGAGCCTTATTGTTTTGGTTTTCCACGATAACCCAACTCAACTTACCCAAACAGAACGTGAAAGGCTCGGGGAAGTAGAAACAGATAATGACAGATCCAATATACCACTTCTCCCACACTTTCTTGGCATCCAAACATCACGCATCATCATATAGAGTAATAGAAATAGACAAATTGATGTACCTTCGTCTTGAGGCAACTTTGACTGAGCAGAAATCAATGAAGCGAAGCAACTCAATGCAAGAGCGCAGAAAACGACGGCGTTTCCGGAGGGCATGACCAAGATTGCGATGAAAATATATATGTAAAAAGGTCAGAATGAAACCAATCTGTTCGTAGTTGGTTCTGGTTTTTCGGATACGAGTGTGAAGATGAGCTGACGATGTAAGAAGCTGATAGAGAGAGAAAACTATGAGCCGACTGTAAAATGTTTAAAGTAGAAGCTGTAGTCAAACATAAAATGTAAAATGTTTGTAAAATGTAAAATGTAGAAGCTGTAAAATGTTTGTAAAATGTTTAAATGTTCAAACTTTAAAAGTAGCAAGGATTTTATAATTTTAACCCTTAATATTTTGAGACTAAGTTTTCTTCATTCATGGTTTTCTTAATGAAACATAGAAGAAAAGATTTTAATTCCATTCTCTATTAGGAATGAATTTTATTCTCACACTACTTTTTATCAAATGTTTATATTGTTAAAAATGGTCAATGATTTGTGTTTCATTGTGTGACATATTTCAAATTCTTTTTTTTTTCCCAAGTCATTAATATGATTAAAATTATAAAAAAATAATAATAATTTAAACCGATCAAAACAATTTTTATATGGTTCCGATTGATTTGATTTAAATGGTTGCATCAATTCGATTTCTATTTTTTTTTTAAAAGTTGTTAGGATCAAGATGATTATAATTTATTTCTTAAATCAAATCAAACTGAAACACGCACACCACAATATAAACAATTAATGTTAAAAAAACAATATAAACAATTAACTGCTCTTGTTTCGTTCAACAAGTAATATATTATTATTTAGCTCATGTACCATTCAATCGATGACATTTATTAGAAACTTGGTCGGTAGTGGTGCTGGACTTTAAAAAAAATTTCTCTCTATATTGACTTTTTTTATGAGTTGATTATTCTTGTTATGGAGATTAATTAATTTAATTACGTTAATCATGCTTTTAAAATTCAAATGAATTGAAGGTGGATTTAGTTACGCAACTCAGATTCTACAATAATAAAATCATCATAACATCTACCACGGTTGTGGATGAGTCACACATCTTTTTCTTTCCAATTCAGCTCATGAGAATGAGAAGACCATGCAATATAGTGACGACTTTGATAATATGAACCATGCAGAAGACTAGAACAGAAATAAATTAAATGGTATATATATACATGTGCTATATAGGTAATATTATATTTGTCATATGTGTATGCGATATGGTGTGTGGGAGTAAATTCATGGACTTTGTTACATTTGACATTTCATGTATGAAATCACCGTGAATGTTCAATTATTCAATAATACTGATTGGTCATTGTTCTTTTCGTTGAAAAATCAGGTAAATTGATTTTCTCTACCTTATTCAACATATGATCCATTTGATTCACACATAATTAGTTAAATTCATATGATCCATTTGATTCTTACTGATTTTGAAATCATGAATGTCTAATAATTCAAATGCTGTTATATTTATCCTTTATATTTTTTTTTAAAAAAAAAAAAAAAAAAAAAAAAGAAAGAAGAAAGAAATTACCGAGAGAGAAAGAGAGGAAGCGGGTTACGGATTTTTCGTTGACAATCTGCAGTAGCTGAAAAAAGAGACGGTGACCAAAGGATTGGCTAGAGAGAAAGGTTTAACAATATTTAACAGGCAAGTTAATCTTGCTTTGTACACTTATATATATATTTGTGACCTGGTCTATGTGTATTACTTATAAATCATTATAGCATGTGTTAATGGGTTATAGTATATCAATGTCACGTTAGTTTAGGATGGCAGCATTATGAATAATAAATTGTATGGAATTAAAAATTTATAATATTAAAGTAATCGTTACCTGCTAGTTATTTTTGTATGATTGAATGTGAAATCATCTTGGTGGAAATAATGCATGTGTACGAATACATATATATATATATATATATATATATATATATATAATATTATACAATATATACTCATATAAAAAATCAGTTTCACCAACTAGTGTATTCAATTACACACACCAAATCAGATTCTTATATATTCATTTATATATATATATATATATATATATATATATATATAATATATTATACAATATATACTCATATAAGAAATCAGTTTCACCAACTAGTGTATTCAATTACACATACACAAGGTGTAATTGAATACACTAGTTGGTGAAACTGATTTCTTATAAGTTTCACCAACTAGTGTATTCAATTACACATACACAAGGTGTAATTGAATACACTAGTTGGTGAAACTGATTTCTTATATGAGTATATATTGTATATATATATATATATAAATGAATATATAAGAATCTGATTTGGTGTGTGTAATTGAATACACTAGTTGGTGAAACTGATTTCTTATATGAGTATATATTGTATAATATTATATATATATATAAATGAATATATAAGAATCTGATTTGGTGTAATTATATTTCTTTTTTAAATGAGAATTAGAGGTTGTTAGAATATATATATTTTATACATGAATTAATGTATAGTTTAAGTTTTAGATTCACTGTAATATTTCAAAACAAAGTCCTATGACACTATAATATATAGTGAATGTTGGGAATCAACTGAAGGTGAAGCAGACTAAATGGTTGAGAAAAATGATACAGATATGATTGTGGGCAAGAAGACCCACTTTGGTGTCTTTTATATGAAACCTACACTCGGCAGCAGAGAGTGGAAGAGAGTGTTGGTGTGAGAATTACAATTGAACAAGTATGGTATCAGTTGGGTAGTTATGGGTTATTGGTAAATTTTGTAGTAGATCAAAGGTTAGTGCTAAGTGGGTGGAGGGAAATTGCATAGAACTGTTTTGGAACAAGTATGGTATCAGATGGGTAGTTATGGGTTATTGGTAAATTTTGTAGTAGATCAAAGGTTAGTGCTAAGTGGGTGGAGGGAAATTGCATAGAACTGTTTTGGATGGAAGACTCGTTTTGGGTATTATGATTCAACCATTCTCGGCGACAGTGGGTGTGGAACATTGTGTCGTTGTATTGAATTGAAATAATACATTTAACTATTATTTTTTTTTTTAATTAGTTATATATTAGAAAATTATCGAAAATAGTATTGTTATTTCATAAATTGTGTTAAATTCCAGAATATTAGTTTTAGGTATAATGATCTTATTTGTGCTGAAATCTAGATTTTTAATTGACTATTTGTTAGTTTTGCGAAATTTAAACATGAAAAAGTATTATTTTTCAGCACCAAAAGGGAGAGTACAAAAAAATTATTAAGAGTTAGATTCTAAATTTTTGCGGGGTATTATATCTAATGTTAGGCTATGTCTAGGAATTTTGTACTCTCACTAGTTGGGTCTTTAAGGTTCTGTTTTTTTAATTGAAATGGTATTTGGGTGTATTAATTATTAATTTAAATTATTAATTAATAATACCTTTCATAATTCACTATAATTATTAATTAATGAATGAATTTGGATTAGTCAGAGGGATAGTCAGGGACTGGCCCTATGATGACTTTTGGGTATGGTCAGAGACCTACCTATTTGGAAGTGCATTACCCTTTAGTTATGGCCATGGGTCTAATGAGCCCTTATTGTGTGGACGTGATCAGGAATCATCTGGGGAGTAGACGTACAATCCAGCCACACGTATGTTTTTGGTAGTCAGGGACTATACGATTCACACCACTTTATTGGACGGGAGCCTGAGGCTCATGTGAGATATGCAGATTTATAAAAAAATAAATGATGGTTTTTGAGTTTATAATTATGCATAATTAATTAACGCATTTATTGAGTTGCTTATATATATGGGAATACAATGTAAGGTTAACTTGTTGAACGATGATTGTGTTTAGCATTACTTGCTGGGCTTGTGAGCTCACCCCATTATCACATTTCAGGTGCTCGTAGAGTAGGAACGTGATGGGATCACATAATGGTGACGAGTTTTGGCTAGCTTTTCGTATTCTTTGTTTTAAATCAATTTTCGCATTGTAATAAGAATGACGATATAATTTGAGATTTAGTTCATTTGTCTAGTTATCATAGATTAATTGTGACAAGGTTGATTGTTTTTATAATTGTATCAATTTAATAAATTAGTGGGTGATTTACATCTACTTCTTTATTTAATTATCTTTTTGTAAAGTTGTGGTTGTGTAAAGAAAGTTATGTCAGATTTTAATACTAGACAAGAGTTCATGTATTTAAGATTTTGGGGCGTGACAGTTGTTGTCCCGTTGTCCCTATTTTTGAAAAATTAGACAAGAGGATTGTCCCTACCTAATCTAACATATGATATATTTGATTAACATTTGTCTTATTGTTTCTTTTACTGATTTTGAAACCATGAATGTCCAATAATTTAATACTGATTGGTTCTTGTCCTCTCCAAGATTTGATTAAACCACAAAAGTGGGTAAGAGAGATTTTTACAGAAAAATCAGATCAAACAACAGACGTCATGTTTTTTTTTCTTTTTCTTTTTTTCTTTTTTTTTTTTTTTTTTTTTTTAACTGGAGGCTTTGGTTCTCTGTTTTTTCCCCTATGGAAATCTGTCTCTCACGGACTTATGAGGATCTAAGTTGGAGGCTTTGGATCTGTGAGAATTTATAATTTTGATAATTTATATAAATACAATGATATACATTTGGAGGATAAGTTGGAGTCCTAATGTGTGGTGTAGGGTAAGGCTGGTGTAGTCTAAATGTATGATTTAATTATAGTCTTACAAAAAAAAAAAAAAAAACCTCTACTTTAGTCTACTAAATGTACGATTTAATTATAGTCTCACAATTGTAGTTAATTTATCATGTTTGAATTAAAAAAGATTTCTTGAATGATTCGCAAAAAAATCTAAACAATTTTTATTAATTATTTTAAAAATATTTTGATACGTGTCGTATTTTTATTAATTCATGTTAGTATAAAAAATAAAAAATATATATATAAAAAAAAAAAAGACTCTACTTTAGTTTACTAAATACAGCCTTGTGTAAAATTTGTCATTTTTTTAGCGAGTGACGTGAGTTTAGGCTCTCATATTCTGATCTAATATATAGTATAAAATATACAAGAAAAATAATTAAGGACTCGAGTTCAGGTGAGAATATTTTTTTGGGACCATTTTTTCTAACACGGCAGACAATAACAAAGAAGAATGTCTGGGACAGTATAGTTTATTTAAAAACATAAAGTGAACGAGGATGCAGTGTACAAAAATTTCAACGAGCTGAGCATATAAATAAAGTACACCAAATCCTTATCGAAAACGACACGGCGTACGTTGCGTGTAGAAAGTGATGGGGATAATAAAGAGGCCAATTTATATTTGAATCAGACGAAAAGAATATTGTTTCGGCAGCCGACGGGTCTAGTCCAACACCAGCCGACGCGTAACTGATGTTGGAGTTCTATTCTATGGCAGCATGGTAATTTCACTCTCATATTTTTCCCGAGAGTTTTTTTTTTTTTTTTTTTTTTTTTTTCTTGGGTCAAGTGCATCACACACCCCTAAAGTGTGCATGTCACAAATTTCACGTGCAAAAAAAATATCTCTAAAGTTTCAATTTAATAAAAATAAGTCATATCGCAAATTTAAACCTAAAATACTGAACCATTTTATAAAATATATAAAAATAAATAGGGTAAAGTACAAAAACAACCCCTTAGGTTTGAGGTTAGGACAAGGAGAAAAAAGTTTACTTATTTTGGGACAAAGACACCTCTGAAATTTGATACAGCTACCAAACACACCCCAATGATAATTCGTTGACATTTTTAACCCTCTAACTTTTGTATTGACCAAATTGATTCTTGAAATAACATTTCTACCCTTAAACCCATATCCATTTCTTCCTTCTCTCCTCTCTATTCTCTTCCTTAAGGTATTTTTGGACAACAAATACCTTCAAGTACGTCCGTGGGTGACTACTTGAAGGCACTTGCCAAATAAATATTGCTGCCTTTCCAATCTACAATAAGGTCTTGTTTTACCTTTAAAAAATAAAATAAGGTCTTGTTTTAATTTTTAATATTTGAAATAAGCATATATTAGCATAAAAGCGGTACAATTTTCTTTGAAATGTATACCATTTATTTGGTTTAATTTTTCGAAAATAATTTCTATTTTAAAAGAATAAAAAATAATACAAATTTGTTTGGTTGGTAATATTTTAAAAACTCAATTAAAAAAAAAAAAAAAAACCCTTAACCAAATAGGTCCTAATTGGTTAGTACTCTTTTTAAAAAAGGGTAAACAAATAAAAAAATAAAAAATCTAATAAAATATTAGACTGCAAATAACATGAATACATTAATTAATGAATAAAACATGCAACTATTTCTTAACCTATAAAAAAGGAAGGTGGGTATTTCATTATTTAATACATTTGTTTGGACAACTAAATTTACAATCACAAACTTTATGAACTCCTTTATTGCAAGATAGAGAGCTTGCTTCCTATATTAGGAGAGATGTATTCTCAAATTGAGTTTATTTAGAGAGAGAAATCCGCCTTTAGAGAGAGAAAGGAGGAGAGAGAAAGAGAGAGACAGAGATGAAGCTTTGGAGTTTGGTTTTCTTGATTCTTTTCTTGGGGATATTTCTCTAAGTAGAAGCAAATGATGGGTTCATTGGAAGCAAAGGAGTATAGCTTATATTAGCATAAAAGCGGTACAGTTTTCTTTGAAATGTATACCATTTATTTGGTTTAATTTCCCAAAAATAATTTCTATTTTAAAAGAATAAAAAATAATACAGAATTTGTTTGGTTGGTAATATTTTAAAAACTCAATGTTAAAAAAAAAAAAAAAAAAAAAAAAAAAAAAAAAAAAAAACACCCTTAACCAAATAGGTCCTAATTGGTTAGTACTCTTTTTAACCAAATAGGTTCACTGAAATAAGCATATATTAGCATAAAAGCGGTACAGTTTTCTTTTTAAAAAGAGTACTAACCAATTAGGACCTATTTGTTTAAGGGATTTTTTTTTTTTTTTAATTGAGTTTTTAAAATATTACCAACCAAACAAATTCTGTATTATTTTTTATTCTTTTAAAATGGAAATTATTTTCGAAAAATTAAACCAAATAAATGGTATACATTTCAAAGAAAACTGTACCGTTTTTATGCTAATATATGCTTATTTCAAATATTAAAAATTAAAACAAGACCTTATTTTATTTTTTAAAGGTAAAACAAGACCTTATTGTAGATTGGAAAGGCAGCAATATTTATTTGGCAAGTGCCTTCAAGTAGTCATCCACGTACGTACTTGAAGGTATTTGTTATCCAAAAATACCTTAAGGAAGAGAATAGAGAGGAGAGATTTAGGTGTTTTGCATTCTAATATTTTAGTAGATTTTTTTTTTATTTATTTTTTTTACCCTTTTTTAAAAAGAGTACTAACCAATTAGGACCTATTTGGTTAAGGGTTTTTTTTATTATTTTTTTAATTGAGTTTTTAAAATATTACCAACCAAATAAATTCTGTATTATTTTTTATTCTTTTAAAATAGAAATTATTTTCGAAAAATTAAAACAAATAAATGGTATACATTTCAAAGAAAACTGTACCTCTTTTATGCTAATATATGCTTATTTCAAATAACATTAATCGACTGATTTCTGGTAACTTAGGATGACATCAAAGAATTCGAAGAAAGTTACCAAGGATTTTCTCTCTCTAGAAATACTAATGACAAAAGTGTTATATATATCAATATGTGGGGTCCACAAGAAAGTAAGTCAATGATGACACAATGTTTGGTGTGAAAAGGAAGCTCAAATTCTATGGCTTATTATGTAAGTTTTCATCTTTGTGGCTTATCATGGAAGCCTCACTTTTTTCCTATAAAAGCCATGCATCTACTACTTCGTTGGATGTAACTTGAACAAGTATAATAAAGTTATTTTACTTTCTCTCTCTAAAGCTCTCACTCAATATTACTCTATATATATATATATATTTATCATACGTTATCAGCACGAGCTCTATCCATCTGAGATTTGAAGAAGAAGCTTTCTCTCCCTCTTTCTATCCCAACTATATATCTATTTTGTGATATTAGTTTTGATAGATTATTGGGTTGGTTTGCTTTATCGGATAAAATAATATTTCTGACTCCAAAGGGTAAGAAAATGTTAATTATGGATTATTATTCATAAAATAAATTTGTTCACTTAAATGATATATGTGCTTACACTATGGTCGGTTCTACCACCTTTATTATTTAATGATTTATGGGCCGGTTTTACTGCTTTTATTGTTTACTAATTTATTTACTATGGCTGGATTTACCACCTTTATTATTTAAATAATTTATATTATGTTATTATATCATTTAATGTCATTTTATTTTATATACTATGCTAAATTATATTTTTATATTGTTGTCATATCTAATTATTCTAAAAATGTCAAATTTGACAAAGCTGGAATTCGTGACCCTGGATATTTCTGGCAAAAATTATTTATCATGGATTCTGGATGTTCAGATCCATTTGGATGCCATGGGCCTTGGAGACACAATTAAAGAAAAGAATGATGCACCATTGCAAGATAAAGCAAATGCCATGATTTTTCTCCGGCGCCATCTTAGTGAGGAACTGAAAAATGAATACCTCACTGAAAAAGATCCACTTTGTTTGTGGAACAATTTGAAAGACAGATATGATCATCAAAAAACAGTTATCCTCCCAAAGGCCAGGGCTGATTGGCTGCAACTGAGGTTGCAAGATTTCAAAACTGTGGCTGAATATAACTCTGCCCTATTCAAAATCAGCTCTACATTGAAATTATGTGGTGATACTGTTACTGATGAACTTCTGCTAGAAAAAACATTCACCACATTTCACGCCTCGAATGTACTCTTGCAACAACAATATCGAGAGCGTAGATTTAAAAAATATTCAGAGCTGATATCATGCTTGCTTGTGGCAGAACAAAATAATGAACTTTTATTGAGAAACCACCAGTCCCATCCAACTGGATCGACACTGATCCCAGAAACATATGTTGCCTCATCCCATGGACGCGGACGTGGACGTGGTCGTGGTGGTAGAAATTAATATGGTCGTGGCAAAAATAACTACCACAATAATGAATATGGTCGTGGTAGAAATCACTCTTATTATCGTGAAGGATATCAATCCTCACATTTTCGCAATCAGAGATCCACACCATATCCTCAAAGGAAAGATCATAATGAAATGAGATAAGTAAAAGGGAAGGATGTGGCTCAACCTTCCAAGGCTCATGATAATACTTGCTATCGGTGTGGCATGACAGGGCATTGGCAAAATATTTGTCGTACACCGAAGCATCTGGCTGATCTGTATCAAGCCTCAATAAAAGAAAAAGGAAAACAAAAGGAAATGAATTTCCTTGATCATGATGAGCAAATTGACACCACAAATCTGGAAATGAATTTCATTAATCATGATGAGCCAGTTAACATCACCAATCTGGATGTATCAGATTTTTTTGATGATCGTGATGAAATGATAGACTTCCTGATTGGTGATGGAAATGTCCACACCAGTTAATCTTATGTTTCTTTTTATGTACTGTCTACTATGCTTTTTGTTGTCCTTGTATTAAAGTTTTTATTTTCTAGTTTGTATTAAAGGTTTTTGTTATAAAAGTTTTTTTTTTTCTGATAAAGAAATTTGCATGAATAGGAATGGATCTGACTAGTTCCAACATATATGGTGAAGACATATGTCTTGCAGATAGTGGAACAACGCATACAATCCTTCGAGATCAAAAATATTTTTCCCACTTAACTCCGACAGACGCTAGTGTCAGTACCATATCAGGTCCCACCGACTTGATTGAAGGCTCCGGACGAGCCAACATCATTTTACCACATGGAACTAGATTACAAATCAATGATGCCTTATATTCTACAAGATCTCGGAGAAATCTGCTGAGTTTTAAAGACTTGCGTCGTAATGGGTATCATATTGAGACTGCAAATGAAAGAAATGTTGAATATCTCTACATTACTTCCATTACCTCAGACAAGAAACTGATATTAGAAAAACTCCATGTTTTCTCTTCTGGGTTATACTATACAACCATTAGAACAATTGAGTCAAATGTTGTGATCCATAAAAAATCTTGTGACCCAAAACTTTTTATACTTTGGCATGATCGACTTGGTCACCCAGGGAGTACAATGATGCATCGAATTATTGAAAATTCACATGGTCACCCACTAAAGGATCAAAAAATCATCTTACTAAATAATCATCTATGCACCGCCTGCTCACAAGGTAAGTTGATTATCAGACCATCCCCTTCAAAAGTCATTGTTGAGTCTCCTCCATTTTTACAACGAATTCATGGGGATATATGTGGGCCAATCCATCCACCATCTGAACCATTTCGTTATTTTATGGTCTTAATTGATGCATCAACACGATGGTCACATGTTTGTCTACTTTCTACTCGTAATATTGCATTTGCCAAATTTCTTGCTCAAATCATCAAATTACGGGCACACTTTCCTGATTACCCAATTAAGACAATCCGTCTTGATAATGCCGCTGAATTTTCTTCTCAAGCTTTTGATGATTATTGCATGTCAGTTGGAATTTATGTTGAACATCCTGTTGCACACACTCATATTCAAAATGGTATGGCTGAATCTTTTATTAAAAGACTTCAGCTAATTGGTCGTCCTTTGCTTATGCGAACAAAATTACCTGTTTCTGCCTGGGGTCATGCCATATTGCATGCTACATCATTAGTTCGTATACGACCAACTACTTATCATAAGTACTCACCATTACAACTTGTTTTTGGTCAACAACCAAATATCTCCCACATACGAGTTTTTGGTTGTGCTGTATATGTTCCAATTGCACCACCCCAACGCACTAAAATGGGTCCTCAACGTAGACTTGGAATTTATGTTGGTTTTGATTCTCCATCTATTATTAGATATCTTGAACCCCTGACAGGTGATGTCTTCAAAGCACGATTTGCTGACTGTTATTTTGATGAGACTGTTTTCCCACCATTAGGGGGAGAAAAGGTACAGCAGCAACGTGATCTTACTTGGAATGCCCTGAAATTGTCTCATTTTGATCCTCGTATAAACCAATGTGAACGAGAAGTTCAGAGGATCATTCACTTGCAAAATGTTGCAAATCAATTACCTGATGCATTTACTGATACAAAGAAAGTGATAAAATCACATATACCAGCTGCAAATGTGCCAGCACGAATTGTTGTCCCTGAGGGACCTTCTGTCAGTAATGCAGCAAATACATCTAAAACACGCCTGAAGCGTGGTAGACCAGTTGGTGCAAAAGATATTGTTTCTCGTAAGAGGAAATCACAAAGAAAAGTTGGCACTCCTGAAGAGGCCACAAAAAGAGCAACAGATATTATTGATCAATCTGAGATAATAGCCTTTGATAAGGCAGATGCTTTTGATAAGTCTCAGGTACCTAAAAATGATGAAATAATAAATATTGATGAGGCAAAAGCAACAGATGATGATGTGGCCCTTGATGAGGCACATGCTCTTGATGAGGCAAAGGTACCTGAAAATGATGAGATCTCATTAAATTATGAAACGAGATGGAATATAAATGAAATTGTTGTCGACAACATATTCTCATATCTTGTAGCTCTTGATATTGAAAATGAGGATCCGAAACCTCAAAACGTCGAAGAATGTCGACGAAGAAATGATTGGCCAAAATGGAAAGGAGCGATACAAGCAGAGCTAAATTCATTAGCTAAACATGAAGTATTTGGACCAGTAGTCCAGACACCTGAAGGTGTTAATCCTGTTGGGTACAAATGGGTGTTTGTACGAAAGCGTAATGAGAAAAATAAAATCGTGAGATATAAAGCCCGACTTGTAGCTCAAGGTTTCTCACAAAGACCTGGTATTGATTATGAGGAAACATATTCCCCTGCGATTGATGCAACTACTTTTAGATTCATAATACATTTAGCAGTCACAGAAAGATTGCATATGCATTTAATGGACGTGGTTACAGCATATTTATATGGATCACTAGATAGTGATATTTATATGAAAATCCCAGAAGGATTTACAATGCCTGAAACAAAACCACGTAATATGCACTCAATAAAATTACAATGATCCTTATATGGATTGAAGCAATCTGGACGAATGTGGTATAATCGCCTTAGCGATTACTTACTCAAAGAAGGGTATGTGAACAGTCATATTTGTCCATGCATATTTATTAACAAATCAGAATCTGGTTTTGTTATTGTTGCAGTATATGTTGATGATCTGAACCTTGTGGGAACATTGGACGAGATCGAAAAGACAGCCACATATTTAAAGAAAGAATTTGAAATGAAAGATCTCGGAAAGACAAAATTCTGCCTTGGGCTGCAGGTTGAACATCTTTCGAACGGTATTCTCATCCATCAATCAACATATACAGAAAAGATTCTGAAACGTTTTCATATGGATAAAGCATATCCATTGAGCTCCCCAATGGTTGTCCGATCACTGGACATCAAGAAAGATCATTTTCATCCTCATGAAGATGATGAAGAACTCCTTGGCCCTGAAGTGCCCTATCTCAGTGCGATTGGTGCTCTTTTGTATCTTGCAAATTGCACAAGACCTGATATAATTTTTCCAGTCAATTTATTAGCACGGTACAGTTTTGCACCAACTCGCAGACACTGGAATGGAATCAAACACATATTGCGATATCTTCGTGGCACAACTGATATGGGCTTGTTTTATTCGAAGGCACCAAAGTCTCCATTAGTTGGATATGCAGATGCCGGCTATCTTTCTGACCCACATAAAGCTTATTCACAAACAGTGTATGTGTTTACCCATGGCGGCACAGCTATATCATGGCGATCGATGAAACAGACAATGATTGCCACTTCTTCAAATCATTCTGAGATACTCGCAATTCATGAGGCAAGCAGGGAATGCATTTGGTTGAGATCAATGATCCAGCATATTCGAACAACATGTGGTCTCTCATCAATAAAAGAAAGTCCAACAATATTATATGAAGATAATGCGGCATGCATTGCACAGATGAAAGAAGTGTATATTAAAAGTGACAGGACCAAGCACATCTCACCAAAATTCTTTTATGCACATGAACTGCAGAAAAAGGGTGATATTGATATTCAGAAGATACGTTCATGTGAAAATCTAGCAGATTTATTCACTAAAACGCTTCCAACTACAACATTCAAGAAGCTGGTGCACAACATTGGAATGCATCAACTAAAGGATCTTCAGGGTTGATCTAATGAGGGGGAGCAATTCATCAAAGAGGTATTGGCATGCTGTACTCTTTTTCCTTCGTCCAAGTTTTGTCCCACTGGGTTTTCCTGGCAAGGTTTTAATGAGGCAGTTTTAAATCTATGCAATACCATGTTCAAATACATAAGAATACTGTACTCTTTTTCTTTCGCTAGAGTTTTGTCCCACTGGGTTTTCCTTAGCAAGGTTTTAACGAGGCATATTCTTAGTGTAATATTATGGACCCCAAGGGGGAGTGTTATATATATCAATCTGTGGGGTCCACAAGAAAGTAAGTCAATGATGACACAATGTTTGGTGTGAAAAGGAAGCTCAAATTCTATGGCTTATTATGTAAGTTTCATCTTTGTGGCTTATCATGGAAGCCTCACTTTTTTCCTATAAAAGCCATGCATCTACTACTTCGCTGGATGTAACTTGATCAAGTATAATAAAGTTATTTTACTTTCTCTCTCTTATACTTTCTCTCTCTAAAGCTCTCACTCAATATTACTCTATATATATATATATATATATATATATTTATCATAAAAACACATTTTCATATCTATTCATATTACCCTTGCACTTCTTTGAGTCAAATCCTTGGTAACTTTCTTCAAATTCTTTGATGTCATCCTAAGTTACCAGAAATCAGTCCGATTAATGTTATTCGAAAAGAAATTCTCTGTATATGGTGATGATCAATTCTTGGATTACTCTCAAAATGGTAAAACACCTAAATCTCTCCTCTCTATTATCTTCCTTAAGGTATTTTTGGACAACAAATACCTTCAAGTACGTATGTAGGTGACTACTTGAAGGCACTTGCCAAATAAATATTGCTGCCTTTCCAATCTACAATAAGGTCTTGTTTTACCTTTAAAAAATAAAATAAGGTCTTGTTTTAATTTTTAATATTTGAAATAAGCATATATTAGCATAAAAGCGGTACAGTTTTTTTTTAAATGTATACCATTTATTTGGATTAATTTTTCGAAAATAATTTCTATTTTAAAAGAATAAAAAATAATACAGAATTTGTTTGATTGGTAATATTTTAAAAACTCAATTAAAAAAAAAAAAAAAAACCCTTAACCAAATAAGTCCTAATTGGTTAGTACTCTTTTTAAAAAAGGGTAAAAAAAAAAAAAAAAAAAAAAAAAATCTAATAAAATATTAGAATGCAAATAACATGAATACATTAATTAATGAATAAAACATGCAACTATTTCTTAACCTATAAAAAAGGAAGGTGGGGATTTCATTATT